ATGCCTTCTTCACAGACTGGAGGATTAACCAAATAAAGCAGCCCAACATTACAGTAACTAACAATAAATAAACCACTAACTTATGTGTACTATTAGAGCATTTATGTCATTTATTTAAACTTTATTTTACCAGGTAAATTAACTGAAAACCAGTTCTCACTGCTTTACGTGATATTCGGGAGAAATAGCAGATTACGCATTGGAACTGCCTGGGATACAAACGTCATGCGTGTAACTAAACTCTTCAGCCAATAAGGGCAAAGGTGTGTCATCACGGAGGCAGTTCCAGTTTGTGCAGGTCCCAATGCATCTAACCGTAAAGCATTGCGTCAGGATCAGAATGCGTTGCTTTAAGCCAGCGCTGTAAGCAAGTCGAACGCACCCAATGACCGGATTGGGGAAACAAACTGAAACGCGTACTTAATACAGAGGACTAATGACAACAACCAGAAAGCTGATCACATGGGGATCCCACACAAGGTTAATGAAGGGGCGTGGCACACGGAAGGAGCGGACGATCGGGGCAGGACGGGGGTAATGTTGGGATAAGATCTTTATCGTTTTGGAAGCCATTAAGAAAAAAATGCTCTTCTTGTTTTATCCTGTTCATTTTGTGTTTATATGCTTAAAAAAAAAACATATTTAGGTGTAATTTTTGGGGGCCGGGAACCAATTAATTGGTTTTCCATTACTTCTTATGGGGAAAAATTCGATCAGAACTCGAACTTTTTAGGATTTGATCCGGAGTCCGGAACAGATTAAGTGTACCACTGTAATATTGTAGTAGTTCATATAATGAGAAGGGGGCAGAACGATTACTCACTTGGTGGCGCTATTGTCTCACACCTCCTCCGCTGCCCGTTCTCCGTTCTCTGCGCGCAGTTAGCTTGTTTTCTTTCTTCGTGGAATTATGTGTGTGTGTAAAATGTAACATATAAAGAAATATACTAGTAATGTAATATATTGTACATTATTAGAATATGCAGCAGAGCAGCATATGTGATGTGTAACAGCTTTTAAGGTGAGGTGTGCTAGATAGTGAGTTTTCGGTCTTCAGCAGGGAACCTGAATCTCTAACAAAGAACACAGAGCCTGCCTTCCGTGAACTTTGGCTGTCGCTTCATTATTCAGCCCCACTTGCTTCCTTCAGTAAAGTCCATACTGACCTTTGCTACACTCCTTTGTCACTTCCACCCAGGGCTGCTGCAGAAGAGGATGGGCCCAGAGGAGCGGGCGGCAGGTTCCATGAGCCCAGGACGCCTGAACAGGAAATCTTTGCTCAGCAGGCTGACTGCATACAGACTGAAGGAGATCTTTACATGGTGAGTTACGTCTTTCATCATAAAGTCTTGTTACACTAAAGTTGTTCTGATTTTGCACTGCTGATGTGAAACTGCTGTCTGCTCCCTGTAAGCAGTGTTTGACAATGTGGTGTGCCCCTGTTCACACTACATGATGTGTCGTCTTGTATTCAGGAGTGTTGAAGTCGTCGTGGTTTACACACTACACGACCGATCAGCGACTGGGGGTCACACACTATTAGAGCTTTCACTAGGAGGAATCATCGGCGAGTCCGTCAGGTGTCCAAACTGTTTCAGCACGAAATCACACATGAGAATGACACCAGGAAATCACAATTCTACTGTCAATGTGCTACAAATTGTTATAACACTTTATTCAAATGACAACACATATGCTCAACATTTACAAATGCGTGGCAAATTAGCTGTCATATAAATAGAACTTTCAAGAAACAGTATTGCATACCTTGGGTTTTTAGTGACTGTAAAGTTTGTTTATGTATATGTATGAATGTATGTATGTGTATGTGTGCATATATCTCATTGGCTGTAGCTCATCGTCACGCTCAGTGCCAGTCACTCTCATTGGTTGTAGCTCATGACTACACTCATTGCCATTTGCTTTCATTGGCTGTAGCTAGTCACCATGCTCATTGCCTGTATCTCTCATTTGTTGTAGATTTTTGCTGCCCTCGTTGTCAGCTGCAACACTTTCACACCTACAGAATTTGGAGTCGCTGACAAGTCTAGATATTTAGCATGATAGATATTTGGCGGGCATCAGTGACTCTGTGAGGACACGTTGTCAAGAAATCGTGGATAAAATCGTGTTGTGTGAATTTAGCATTATTTGTGACGTGATCGTCCATCATCACAGGCACCTCCTAAAGACACTGGCCATGGGTCAGGGCCTGTCGCTGCTGATCTGTGGGACAGCGGTCACTTGCCAGTACCTCGCAGAGACAAAGGTGGAGACGCCCATGCTACAGAGCTTCCTGAACTATGCCCTGCTGTTCCTCACCTACACGGTCGCTCTGGTCTTCAGAAGGGGTGAGCTCTTCTGTTTTTCTGTGAATCTTGGGAACGCGTTGAATTCTGACTTCACTATTCACATCATGAATAAGCGACTACTGCTCCTCCTGCGGGTGGTACCACTCATACCAAAGCACCTCTGTAGAGGGTGACACTGCATGAACCTCATCTGTACCTGTGTGCTGGGGAGGTCACAGTAGGCAGTTGTGGGTTCTTCCCCCCCCAATGGGGCAGTTCAGATCAGAACTTTTACTGAGGGTATGCTGTACAATATACTGAAGGGGTATCTCTGGGTAACACAGTATGAAGACATTGAAGGTTATGCAGTCAAGTCCCCAAATGGCCCCTGATGTGGTACTTAATTTTCATAGATCTAGTATCCAGCTGTATAAATGTAACAGGTAAGTGGCATTGTAACAAGAAGTCAGTTAGAGGTGGAAAGTTCAGTTCCAGTAAGTACAAATCCAGGCCAAGATTTTGTTTCAGCCACTCTGTGAATGTGACTCTTTTGTACCAGAGGTTTATTTTATCCTGTCGATATTCTTCTTTAATCACATTTGCATTTATATAGATTTGAAAATGACAATATTTTAAAAAAGCATTTAAAACATGTTTATTATACATGAAGTTTAGATAAGTTTAGGAGGGCGTTTCAAACTGGTAGCCCTTCGTATGGCTCAGTACCCGTGAAGCAGCTGTTTCAAAAAGGTTGGTGGTCCCTGCTTTATACTCATCTGGGTGGTTGAAACAAAATCCTGGTCTGGATTTATACTCTCTGAACCTGAACCTGAGCCTTTCACCTCTGCAGTGAAGTATGCAAACATTTGAGCCATAAAGTCTTGTTTGGCATGTGTGGAGGATTTTCATATCATTCTATATGTTGTTTTGTATTAATGGATGCGCATCTATTGCATGTCTTTTTGGGTTAACATTCTCTCCTTAGTGTACCGAGTATAACATTGTGTGTCTGCCCCTGCTCCTAAAGGGTTTCTGTGTGGATGAGTAACTGTCTTTAGATAGTAAACAACCTCAGTCCTGGGTGAGACCAGTGAATTAGTTAAATGGTTAACTGCTGAGTTAATGAAAAGCTGCACAGCCCTTCAGGAACACGAATGAAGTTTTATGTTTTTGAGTGCCGTCTAGCTGCACCATTAACCCATGTGACACACGTGTGCGTCACACAGCCCCCTTCCATTGTGCTGTCCATGTCGGCTGCCCCTGGATCTCGTCCCCCACAATAACATCCTCTCTGTTGGGGGTCTTTCTTTGCTTTCTTGTAACACACAGGTGATGGAAATATTTTGCAGATTTTGCGGACAAAGTGGTGGAAGTACCTCCTAGTGGGCTTGTCTGATGTGGAGGCCAACTACGCAGTGGTGAAGGCATACCAGCTAACCACTCTGACCAGTATACAGGTTAGAACCTAGAAAATTTATGGTGGACATTCAGTTGCTTCTTTGTTGTAATCATTAATAACAATATCAATAATAATGATGTGCCCTGCAATGGGTTGGCACCCCATCCTGGGTTGTTCCCTGCTTTCTGCCCGTAACCTCCAGGATGGGCCCTAGACTCTGCGACCCTGAATAGGACAAGCGGTTATAGAGGATGGATGGATGAGTGGATGGAATAATAATAATAATAATGACGATGATTTTATTTCTCTTCTTGCCTGTTTTTACCTTTTGAAATGTCTTTGTGGATATATAAAAATTTGTAGGATCTAATTAAGGACGTACGACTAACCTTTCCTCCTGAGATTCAAGGCTACGGTTTTTAGCACATCTTGGCTTTGACATAATGTAACTGATAGCGGACCTCTCCCCCGGAGACGATGCCTGCAGCGCCACTGCCGCTCCTCTGCATTCTTATCTTGTTGTGGCTCCATGAGAAGGGCTTGCTTCCTGTTTTCCAGCTGCTGGACTGTTTTGTGATCCCCGTATTGATGGTGCTTTCCTGGATATTCCTTCGGACTCGCTATCGGGCGATCCACTATGTGAGCGTCGTCGTTTGCCTCCTCGGGGTGGGGGCCATGGTGGGGGCCGACCTGCTGGCCGGGCGGGACCAGGGATCCAGTAAGTACCAGCAGCTGGAGGAATCGATGCAGATTATTTTTTGTATGTTATCTTTCCCAGTTTTTCATTAGATAATATCCTACATGTCCAAAGGAAACTATATTGCATGAATTGTCAATGGAGAGCTGCTACTTTCCCAGCAATTTCACAAAAATGATCATCCTGTGATGTCACCCTGAGACACTTTTATTCTCGTTGGTCCTTTATGACACACACATCATATTCCTAATTTTTCCAACAATCATTGGTGCCATAAATAGGTAAAGCTTATATATTACAAAAACGTTTTCTGGCAAATATAGGAAACTGCTTGTTGTACTGTATGTATTTTTAAATGTACATATGTACTGACAAAAAGCATTTTTTAATGATTCCCCATAAACGTCAGATATGATGTTATTGAAAGCTTAAATAATATGAGCATTAAGAACTTGACGAGAAAGAGATTGGCTGCTTATAACTTTTCATCTGCACAGAAAAACTCAAAAAAGGAAAAAAACCTGTGAAGCCAATGATTACCTTGGATGTGTCAACCTAATAGGAATAACATTTTCTAAACACTGAAATCTTGTCTTAGTCTATGATGGTCTATCTGATAAAGCGATGTGTTTAGTCAATGCAGCCTGCTTGTCTTGCTCACTCTGCCCCCTGGTGGTCGTGTGCACATACTTCTTTGTGTTGTCTACATGCATGGTCATCTTGTTTGTGTCTGCTGTCTCACTTCTCACTACTGTGCTTTGCCCACATGGCATTGGTACTGTGTTACAAAGGTAGACATCAGATATCCAGACACAAAAGGTTGTAGCTAAAACAGCAGCAACATCCAGGGATTCTGGAAGCATCCTGGGAAGAGACAAGGAACTAAGCTAGATGAGGGGATGGGGAGGACTGTAGCATTATATACAAAAGAGTAAAAATTACACTTAATTAATTTAAACATATTTTATTACATTATGGCCATGCTTTTTCTGTATATGTCACACAATGGTTTACTAACTTCATAAACACTTTGCTCAGTTACACTGATTGAGACTGAACTGATTCAGATGTGGACACATCAGAGAGGGAGATTTCAGGTCCAGAAAATACAAATCCAGACTAAGATTTTGTTTCAACCAACCAGTTGAGTTCTCTGTGACTATTTATACTTGACAGGTTGGTTGAAACAAAATCTTGGTCTGGATTTGTACTCTCAGAACCTGAAATCTCCACCTCTGGTGCACATATACCCAACATCCAGTCAGTATCACTGAGTGTAACCTGTCACTGCTTAACTTTCCGTCACCATAATCATATGGCGTGGTTTTGTTCTCTCGCTCGACCCCCATAGCCAGTGACATCCTGCTGGGAGATGGGCTGGTGCTCATTAGCGCCGCCCTGTATGCAGTCTCCAATGTGTGCCAAGAGCACGTGGTGAAGAACCAGGGTCGAGTGGAGTTCCTAGGCATGATGGGACTCTTTGGAACCCTGATCAGCGGCATCCAGATGTAAGCTGTGATGGGATAAAGAAAGCCTGGGGAGGTGGAATGGGATTGGTCATGTGTAGCTGTTTTTAAATGCCATAGGCTGTTAGTGGTTAAGATGTTTGCCTCTGGGCCAAGAGATCACGGGTTTGAGTCCCACCTCTGGTACTACCATTATTGGGTTCCTGAGCAAGACCCTTAACCCCAACTTGCTCCAGGGGGACTGTCCCTGAATTTAGAAAAAAATGGAAGTCGCTCTGGATAAGAGCATCCGCTAAATACTGTAAATGTAAATGCGTCATTGCTTCAGTCCATGTCAGCATACCTGTTCTCTGGGCTTGCAGGGCTATTTTGGAGCACAAGTCTGTAGTGATGATCCCATGGACCTGGTGGATAGGTGAGGCCGCATGACCATGTTCTCTCAGTTGAAACTTTATATAATTGTATTGTTGATTATTTTACTGAAATACTTTCAGATAATATATTTCACATACAAGCATACAAGGCATTTGGTCTATAACCTTTATGTTTAGTTTCTAGTGTTTTCCGCTAGATGTACAGAAGGTTCACTTCTCCTGATTGTCACACAACCCTTGTATGTTAGCATCTCCCGGGTTGCTGGGCAACTGTACGACTTTAAACAGCTAGTTATTTTCTTTCTTCTGCCTCTGGACATTTCTGCTCTATGTCCTGTATGCAGTCTATCTTTCTGTACATCAGCCCCACAAATCGTGATACATTGGTTTCAGCTCATGGGAACTTTAGTTACACAAAAATGTTCTGAGGGCATATGATTGGTTGAGAGATAACCAATCAGATTGTAGAGGAAGTGAGTCTAAGCAACTTGACACGGGACCAACCAATCAGATTGTGCCTTGTCTTTATGGGGTTACTGATGATTTGGTTTGGATCTGTTTATTAACCCCCCCCCGCTATCTCCACAGTCGTCCTATTCACCATCTACGTCTCCTGTATGTTCCTGCTGTACAGCTGCATGCCCGTGGCATTGAGGTTGACCAGTGCCACAGCGGTCAACCTCTCCCTGCTCACTGCTGACCTGTTCAGCCTCTTCTGTGGCCTTTTCCTCTTTGGCTACACGGTGAGCGATATCCTACAGCTGGGGTGGGTAGGAGGACCGGGGATACACTCCACATTCGGGCCTTGAGTTGACCTTTGAGCTTGCTTTTAAAATTCTTCCAGTGACTTATTCTGTCTTTACATTACTTTATTAACAGTCCGTTTTCTCAAGCACCAGACTGTTCATGTCTTCTTGTTGGCACAGGTCTGCCTTCTGGGGTGGTCTGTCCACCATGGCTTTCATTAACTTGACTCTCTTAGCTGAGTATTAAAATGTGACAGCTGGAAAATGTTACTGTGTGTGCACAAAGTGTTTTGCTGTTTATGGGTTGTGCCACGCTCTAATTTTTGGCAATGTTACCGCTAGTTTATTCAGCTCGTTACTGCCAGTCAGTGAGTCCTTGCAATAGAGTCCTTGCAGTAGGTTTAATCCTGTTCTTTCTTTATACTGTCATTAATTATAAGATTTATAAACATTAGGTGAAGACCAAGTGCTAATCTTCTTGGTTCTTTATCAAAAATGTCATCTGACGTGGCCTTGGCATAATAGCATACATGCAATTGATCTTTCACCCTTTCTGCTTTTGCAGTTTTCGGGCCTGTACATCGTCTCCTTTGTGGTGATCACCGTGGGATTTGTCATGTTCAATGTCGTGCCCACGTTCGCTCCAGAAGGGCCGGCCAGACTTGACAGGACCCCGGCACCTTCCCTCAGCGCTTCCCTGGACAACTACTTCAGACAGGAAGTGGATGTGGACAAAGAGGGAGATGGGGGAGGGGCTACGAATCGGCTTCAGTGGCAATCACGAGACCATGCTGGTGAAACTAGCACTAAGTTTTAGCTTTGCACTTTGCACTTTAAAAAAAAAAAAAAGGAGGGGCGAGGGGGGTTCCCCTACACCAGGAGTGGTGTACCTGATCCATGGAGAGCTGCTGTGTGTGTGGATTTTTGGGATGACCTCTCAATCAGCCAATAATTAAGCAGTGGTTTTCAACTCCAGTCATGCCACTGTTATAGGCTGATTGAGAGGCCATCCTAAAAACCCGCACTGGCTCTCCATGGATCAGGTACGCCACCCCTGTCCTACACTAGCATTATAGTGATTCATGGGCATCTTTCATGTGCTGGAACATGTAATATTCATACATCCCTCTCGCTGTAGAGGACACGTCGGGTGAAGGAGAAGTTAATTAAACTCTTTACTATCTCAGTGTCAGACATTCACATTTTCCATTACAATGTGGGTGGGTAGATTGCTTTGAGAATCTAAAGCACTTAGAATTAAATTAGTATTATAGTAATCCTTACAAAGGGATGTATTACTACATGGATTTTCTAAATGTTTTTGTTTAGTTTCAAATGAGGTGCTATATGCAATATGGCCAACAAGCGGAAGGATTAAAAATGGGAAACATTTGTTTTTTATGGGTTTGGCTATCAGGTCACTCACCATATTATTGTTTTGTTTGTTTTTCCAATTTGTACAAAATCATGTGAATGGTGTCTTGTTATCTCCAATTCAAATTTTATATCCATTTTCGGACATATTTTGTGTGACGTCCAAACTTTTTTTGTTAAATGGGTCAAAAGTGTCTGAGGCTGGCCTTGTGTCATTTTCGGCTAACAATCCTGGAAATGTGCATTAACTTCCACGGTGGAGACTTCGGGTGCTGTCACCACCAAATATGGTCAGATCTGTAAGTCAGGTCATGATATACCGGCGATACCAAGGCAATCTGATGGCGTGAGCAAGGCAAGGTCATGACCTCTGTTTGATCAGTTCACAATCAGGTTTGTACAAATAAAAGATTTTATACTGACAAATGGTCTATATCTGTTTTTAATATCATTACTCAGCTGCCATTAAATCGCATTGGATGTAGAGCAAACACATTGGTTCAAATTGTTATAGCAACCGAAGCATTTTATAGTCTTGAAAGTGAAAGCAAAAACTAAGTTGTAGACGCAAGATTTCAGACTTGCTCAGTTACCGCTTGGCTCTGCACACCAACTTCCAGTCCATTGCTTTGGTTCCGGGTCCACTTTGTAGTTGGAGTGCAGTCAGTAAATCCCAAGTGGGATGCTTTGGTTACATACTATGAATGCATGGATGATGGAAGCTGTTGATGTGTGTTTCCAAGAGTCGTAGGCCAGGCCCAACTGGACTGTACAGGCGACATTACAGTATAAGAACCTATGTAAGAATTTTTAATTCTTATTAAAGGTGGCTTCCCAGGAATATTCCTCTGTAGTCTAAGGGTGCTTTCACATCTGCCTCATTTAGTTCGGTTGAATCGCACTAGAGTTCGTTTTCCTACTTGGTGCGGTTCGTTTGGGCAGGAGTGAATGTAACAATCGCACCCGAGTGCGCACCAAAAGCGGACCAAAAAAGCGTACCGAGACCTCCTTGAAGAGGTGGTCTCGGTACGCTTTCAAACGAACACTGGAGCGGTTCGTTTGTGGTGAGAACATGATCCGAACTCGAACAGACCCAACTGCAAAAAGTACTGCGCCTTTTTGGACTAATCCAGCTGTTTAATGACAAGCAAGCAGAAGCATAGGCAGGGTTACCACACCACATCGAATTCAATGACTTTTCCAAGCCCAGTTCTCTCAAATTCGAGGACCCAGCACAGCATAGTGAGAATGTTTATAATGAAAACGTGTAGGCTTTACTGCAGAAGCTCACAGAAAACAATTTTAAACAGAGAGAGAGGGCATAACATTAACTTACCTGATGGATCGTTGGTAATATTTCCGGAAGATGACCATGTCACAGTTTCGCAAAATGAATTCACGCCTCCTCCTGAAGTGACTTGCGATGCGCCTTCGCCGTTTCCAGTGCATTAAAACATTGTTTTTCAGCCGCATCCGCGCTTCTTTCTCGAAATGTATAGTTTGTCTAAAGTGATGTATACAAACTATATGGTATACGATGACCAGCGATACAATCAGCCAGCGCAGTCGTCCCTCCATACTAAATAGCGGCATGTTGTCTACCGGCTTGTTGTCTCCTCGCTTTGTTTACTTCCGGGAGTTCCATTGGAATTTTCCCGCACGTTAATTCTGACCAATTAAAAAGCAGTTTACGAAATACGTTTAATGGCACATCTGGCCAACGAGTGATGTAGATGTTGTCATTTTGGTTCGTTTCAACTGGTTCGGACCAGAGCAATCAGTGTGGTGTGAAAAGGACCCAAAACGGCAGAAAAATGCTACACTGTATCATTTGTTGCCCTTGGTCCGGACCAAATGAACCGAACCACAGATGTGAAAGCACCCTCAGTCCTAAGTATTATAATCACACTGAGAATAATTCAGAACTGCAATCCCCTGAGTGATGATATTGGTTTTAGTATTATTTCCAAGATAGTCTAGTTATTGTTTATAAGCAATCCGAGGGGTAGGTCTACATAACACTGACAAAACATTCCTGCATCAAAGCGTCCTGGGCAAACTGAAGCATTCAATTTCTCCGTAAAAAAGTACTGGGGATGGTTAGCACAATCAATAATGTAAAAAAAATAAAATCATGTTGAGCCATTAGTCTGTCTGCATCCTAACGAAGCAAACCAGTGAAACGAGAAAATCAACCTCGAGTTGAAAATGAAAATTGCACCTGAGAAATGGGTGGCATTCCCCTTTCAAAACGATCGGCCGAACTAATATAGTCCTTGGATGCTGTTTATAAACCCCAGCTTATGTGCCCTATCGGCTCGGTGCGTAAATAAGGCAAACAGATTTGCACTTAAGAAGCTAATACACATGCTGATAATTAACTTCTAAACATTGCTCGACGACAACATTTTTTTTTGTTTGAGGGAAAACGTTGAACGCATGAGTTGCAGGGCACGCCAAGGTGCCCCCGGTTTTTACCAGCTTTTGATAACGGGTTTCCTCGGTACTGTAGCCCCGCATCGGATCTTGCGGGCGGCGACAGTTGCTTTCATGGAGGAAAAGCAAGCACCGGCCAGGGATTAAACGCACGCCACGGCGCACAGCTCTTACGGTATTGGGTGCCTTCCACTTTTCCTAGATTGGCGATTTTCTCTGTGTACGCTTCAGTCTGTTCAGCTAATATTAACCGCGAATTGTCTCGCACAATGCACTATTATCCGGTTTTAAGGAGCGCACCAGTTCAAACATTGTGTCCCGAGCGACTGTGTATAAATAAGCATCGGGTTATTGAAAATGACACCAGTGCTTACTATCTGAATGGCGTAAAAACATATGCATTTCTTATGTGGATGATATTAGATCTACTTAAAATATGAACGTGGTCTTCCCATGACTGCACCAGGCGAAGAGCTGTATCGCACACAGACGCCGAACTGCGTCATGTTCGTCTTACAAGAAAAGAGGGATTGTTTTGACCGATATATCACATTGTTTTGGGGAAACGTTGCCTTCTTGTAAAATTCATATACAGTATCCTTTTCACAGAGGCATAGACCATCATATAGTGAATTCTGTATGATAAATCACGAAGTGACAAAATGAAGCATTTTTTAAGGTAGGTAAAATGTCTCATATTGTTTTTACATTAGGTGAAGAAACACTTATAGGCCTACAGATATTTTGGATAGAAATTTCTCGTGAAAATTTGTGTGTAGACTATTTGCATTACCTGCGTGATATTCATAATTTTTTTCGGCTTATTTCTTTTCCTTATATTTTGATTCACCCACAAATGAAAAATGTTTTTGTATCTTTTATTTACAGAAGACAACTCATTATTCCATCACGCTTTTATGAAGCCAAATTATAGTCGGAAGCCCCTCGCGAAAAGTAAGGAAGATATACAAAAAGACAAGGCTATTCAAACAACGAAACATAAGCTACCATTGGCAACTCACACCGCTCGCCCTGTTTCTCAGATTATGGGATTTATCTTGTTGATCTCGATCATACGTCGGACTGCAAAACCTGCTGCATGGTTGTCTTATGCAGTTTTTCGATATATTTTCCCCGAAAAAGTTAAGCTTATTTATCGCACCAGTTAGCCTATATGATTATGGTAGCCTAGGTTAGTAAAGGGAGCTTAATTGTCTCTAATACCTTTCTATACAGATAGTTCATAGTGGTGCTGAAAGGAAATGCACAGGGAACTAGTGACATATTGCTTGTGTGAATTAAAGTAATATTTCTAGAAGATGATTGTTTTGGTCATGGTATAGTATATGAGGGTTGTAGGCCTACCTGTGTGCAAGGGATAAGAGATAGATTAGATAGATGATAGATAGAGCCTGTACATCCGACACCAGTGTAACGAACAGCACGCCACCGTCCGATCGATCGACCGCTTTTTACTGGTTCACCGCGCACCGGCGCACGTCCTGAATCCTTCATTATTGCTCGCGACTAATCAATTCTCCCTTAGTAACTGCTCTCTCGGTAGTACTACGCGGGCTTTTCACTAGTTCTGCCGAAGCGCTTAACTGAAAAGCTCGCGTAGTTTCAGAGGTGCTGGAAACGTGAGTCTAACATTCTGCCCCAGGCCGATTTTAATAGCCCTTACGGAAAACACATTCCAAAAGTACCAGCACCTAACTATATTTCTACGATATTTAACAAAAGCAATAGTTAGGCCTAGCTGATTTTGATTAACCATCTAATATTAGGCATCCCTTAAATAAAATATTCGGTTAATTAGTAAAATGTAACGCTATATAATAGATTATAATTAATTTGGATAATTATCTTAACATTATCAGTTGGCAGAAGAAACACGGCGCACATTGACCAGCACAGAGTCGCTGATGATTAAACACACTGATGCGGAAGCACATGTGACATAACAGTACGGCCCGTAATGATCCCAGCTTCCCCCGTATAGGAGAACCCGGTACCGGTGTTCATTCAATCACATTTACACTCATAGCCCCTAAAACCTAACCCTAATCCCAAGAGGTTGGAACTGCACATGCGCAGAAAGGCTCCATAGCACCATAGGTAGTATTTTATGACAGAACACTGGCATGGGGTCTGACTTTAACTATGACTAATGAACCGTGAAGCATCCAGTCGGGCATAGTGGTTTTCATTTGTCTAAATAATAAAGTCGCGTTTTTACATTGCAAAGCCAATGGTTATCTGCAGGCGAGTAACCTTCCCTTCATCTCAACTGACCCAAAAACACACTTAAAATATTCAGTATGACCAGATTATAAATGAACAGCATACGGTCCCCCCAGTTTATTGACAGGTTTAACCCAAAACTTCCAAATCCTAATTATATAGTACAATCATCAATGTGCTTATTATTTTTTAACCATATTTAATGTGTTTATTGGGAGTCCTGTGACCATAACAATTTTCTGTGTCTTTAAACCCAATGCCTTGTGCTCTCCTTTCCTGTCTTCCTCAGCATGGCACACTCATGTTGTGTAGATGCACGTCCTGGAGCAGAGTCATCAGGCTTATGGTCATTGTTTCCTGTAACTGTGTCGGTCTCTCGCTCCCCCCACAGTACACTTGCACAGTTTTTTATGTTCCTGTACTGCAAATTTCTGTGGAGGACGTTGAAGTTCGTGACCCGAAAGGTCACGGGACGGTGTGAGATGCAGCGCATCTGTTACAACAACAAACCAGGCGCCCGCCGGACCTTGAAGATAGGTAGGTGGATGACTCTGAACCCCCGAGTCAGTCTGAGTATAAGAAATTCTAGACATAGGGTAAGAAGCAATGTCACTAGCATATGCAGATTGGCTTCTATTATCACAAATATTCATCCATCACCACTTAATCTCAGCTGGGACTAGAGCAGCGGTCTCCAACTCCGGGCCTGGAGAGCTACTATCCAGTAGGTTTTCTATCCTACCTGGCTTCTGATGAACCACACCAGTGGCCTGTACTACGAAGCGGGGTTACTGGCTTATCGGGGTAACTTGTCGGATTTAAGGTACCACAGTTTAAATGGACTTCATATTCGTTCACTTACATTTTACCCAGACTACCTTAAATCCGACAAGTTGCCCCAATAAGCCAGTAATCCAGCTTCGTAGTACAGGCCCCAGTTCTCAGGTAAATACCAGGAGCAGGTGTGGCTCATCAGAAGCCAGGTAGGATAGAAAACCTACTGGGTAGTAGCTCTCCAGGACCGGAGTTGGAGACCCCTGGACTAGAGCCTTTCCCAGGAACCAACCTAGGGCAGTCACCAACACACACTCACAGGGCCAACTTAGATTCACTAATTTACCTACCATGGACACTTTTGGACTATGGGAGTAAACCAGAATCCCTAATGGAAACCCACACAAACTCCACACAGAAGAGTCCTACACCCAACCCGGGGACTGAACCCAGGACCTTTTGGCTGTGAGGCAGCAGCACTAATCACTGTGCCAATGTGCCGCTCCTATGCATTATGCATCCATGTGAAATTGTTTTTCTTAACAATTGGCTTGGATTGAATTAATTTAAAATTAGTCCCTCACTTACATCTTATTTTTGACATGTGCTATCTAGTGCCCCAACTATGTAAGATTCTGATATTTGACTTTTCTCTCACATTTTTCCTTGACTTTAGATTATGAAGAATTTGTAATGAGTATAACATAATTATCTTACCCATAGGAAAGGTAGCTATAACTATGGCTATTGGTTGTTTCACTAAGAGTATTGTCAAGAAAGGTTTCTTTGCGAGTGAAAGCGATACCACTGAAAATGACCGTTTTGCCATTTGTTTGGCTGCCTTGATTTTTATGCCGTTCCATCTGCCATTTAAGTTGCTCACTTTTAATCGATGAGCTTCTAAGCCACTCAGCAAGATGGCTGAGTGAAAATGGAAAGTTATGTAATTCTTTCATTTTTGGAAGTGTCCAAGTAACTGCTATATTTTATACTAACGCATGTTGTCTTAAATGAAACATTTTAATTTTACTGAAACAGCAGGATTTAATACTAGAATACTAGCCTTACTTTAGATGGGCTTCTGAGATGACTCTTCCTGTGTTTTCTTTTCAGAATCATCTCTCAAGTTCTCCAAGAGTGGGGTGAGACACATCACTTAGCTTTGTATGGGTCCTTAAGGGGTTCGTCTATGAAAATAAAACAAAACAGGGAAGCGTTTTACCTGGAAACCTCCTTAAATTTTATACTATGGGATATAATTATTTTCCACAAATGAATTATTATTATTATTATTATTATTATTATTATTATATCCTTCCCAGCTCCTGCAGTCTGCTGTCAATGTCCATGCAGACTCTGTTGAGAAGACCATTGATGTCATTATGGCATTAAAAAAGATCAACCCTGACACAAACCCACAGTAAGACAGGACTATAATTAATTTGCATTTAAATGGGTCCTACTATTCTTTTCTGGATTTTCCCTTTACTTTACTGTGTTATGTAGTTATATGTGCATGTAAACATTCTCCATAGGCTTAAGTACATGCCAAAGGGAGTAGGTCTCACCACAGAAACCCCTCTTATTTGTCTAAAATGCCTCGTCGGAATTCCAGCCCTTGCTTTCTTGACATGGTGAAGTCATCTCGTAACACAATTCTTATTGGCGGTCTACCTGCAAGGATATGTATGAAAACTGCAAGACAGAGGCGGAACACGTAGCGCCGCTGACCAATCAGAGTACAATGGGCTCATCAAGTGTGGGGCTTAAAGCTCTAATAACGTTTCAGACAGAGTTATAAACAGAGTGAACAGAGGTGAAGAGTATGAGAAAAATAATATGTTTTTGGAACATTGAAGCATGTAAATCTATTCTAGTAGTCCCCAAAAATAAAATTATGAACAGTGAAAGTGAGCATAATATGTCTCCTTTATGAGAAAAAGCTAGTATAAAAACAAAGCAAATGAACTTAATATCTGAAATGAGACTTTTTAGCAACACCTGGATTAGTACTAGGGCGTCACTGTATCCACACTGGTGCTGTGGTACTGTCTAGGGCATCACTGTATCCACACTGGTGCTGTGGTTCTGTCTAGGGCATCACTGTGTCCACACCTGTGCTGTGGTTCTGTCTAGGGCATCACTGTGTCCACACCTGTGCTGTGGTTCTGTCTAGGGCAGGGTTATTCAACTCACAGTCCTCGAGGTCCGAGCACTGCTGGTTTTCCAGCCTTCCTTTACCTGTCAGTCAGGTGTGAAGCCTCTGACCAGTCAGAATCAGTAATTATTAAACAACTACCTGGGAGAACTGAAGATTTGGAATCGAGGTCCAGCGTTGAAGAACCCTGGTCTTAGGGTATCACTGTATCCACACTGGTGCTGTGGTTCTGTCTAGGGCATCACCGTGTCCACACCTGTGCTGTGGTTCTGTCTCTTTCGGTGGAGCAGCAACAGGTGGCTGAGGGACATTGTGTTCTATGTTTGCCCAGGTTGGCCATCTCTCTTCAGGCCAGCCTCTACCAGATTGTGGGCTACAGGAGCCTAGTGGTTGAGGTGGAGAAGCTGCGAAGAGAGCCATATGACTGTGAGAACCCTGATCATGAGGAAATGCTGCTGAAGGTGCAGATAACACTGGATCACCTACACATGGTACCATTCAAAAGTTTGGACACACCAAGCCTCCTACAAAGGACAGTGATAGTGGGCCGCATCACATAAACTGGCCACTTGACCTGCACAATAGAAATGGTTGGAGTACTTTGACCAGATTGTGAAGTGCTCAGCATACGTGGGACCTCCTTCAGGACAGCTGGAAAAGTATCCCAGATGACCACCTCATGAAAATAGGTTAGAGGAGAATGGAGGTTCAGCCAATCCATGGAGCAATTGGGGTTAAGGGCTTTGGTCAAGGGCCCAATGGTGGGATCACTCTGCCAACCCAGGGATTTGAACCAGCAAACTTCTGAGTTCCAACCCACAGAGCTGCCCCCCCCCCAACATTTTTTTGTCTAATACTTATTTGGTCAGTGCATAGTTCCAAATGTGTTATTTTATAGTTTTGATGTTTTAGAATTATTTTAAAATGTAGAGAATAGTACAAAAAAAAACATTTATATGGGTAGGTGCGTCCAAACTTTTCTGTACCTGTGTTCACTGAAGCCCACAGATCTATACATACATCTTACCAAAACTTATAGGTGTGCTGTTATATTTATGGTCAGGTTTGACCTTCGTTTCATATCTTTGATACATGACCTCTGTCTTCTTCACCGTAGTTGTGGAGGACACTTCGCCCCGAATCTCCTCTGAGTGGGCGCATCTCCAAGCAGTGGTGTGATATTGGTTTCCAAGGCAGTGACCCCAAGACTGACTTCAGGGGAATGGGGCTCCTGGGCTTACAAACTCTTCTGTGAGTGTTTGTGCATGTGTGTGTAGGCCTGCACGATATCACATCACAACATAATTGCAATTATATGGCACATGCACAATAATCGCCAGGGCTTTAGATGATGGGCGTAAGCATTTGTTCTGTCACGTTCTTTTCGGTACTATACGGACATTTACTTACGCCCACAATTTGGTAAGCAGTTTAGTAGTACTCCTAAAATATTAATGAGATGCATACTGTGACACCCAAAAGTTAGTAATCTGTATAAATGTTTATACAATATATAATTATATAATAAAGCCTTATGTTCATAAAATCAGTTACCGAAGCATGCCACATACTACTGTTTTGGTGTGTGATGGAAACGATAACACTGATTTGGTGGTGAAGAAAGGGACAGCTGAACAGCCACAACATCTTTTGAAAGAGGAGATATTGTGAATAAGGTAAAAAGATGTCAGTCAGATTTATACAGAATTAACTTTTGGTCACATCACAATGCGCCTCGCATTAATATTTTAGGCGTACTGCTAATCTGCTTACTAAATTGTAAGTGTAAGTAAATGTTCATATAGTACCGAAAAGCCAGTGTCCAAACAAATGTTTATGCCCGTCATCTAAAGCCCAGGTGATTATTGTGCATGCACTATATAATCACGATGTAATATACAGTGGTACCTCGGTTCTCGAACTTAATCTGTCCCGGACTCCTGATCGAATCCTAAAAAGTTCGAGTTCTGATCGAATTTTTCCCATAAGAAATAATGGAAAACCAATTAATTGGTTCCCGGCCCCCCAGCCCCCCAAAATTACACCTAAATATGTTTTTTTTTTTTTTAATTTATTTCAGAACCATTAACCATCATTTAAACACAAAATGAACAGGATAAAACAAGAAGAGCATTTTTTTCTTAATGGCTTCCAAAATGATAAAGATATTATCCCAACATTACTCCTGTCCTGCCCCGATCGTCCAAGAGGGTCTAGCTGCAGACGCCTGTAGAGTGGAGCTCCACTCGAAATACGTCACCTCCACAGGAAACACGTGATCTTTAAGGACGTAAAGTGGAGCTCCGGTTAGGGTTAGGGTTAAGGTTAGGGTTTATTCGCTGTGACACAGAGTTGAGGCCACATGTTTCCTGTGGAGGTGACGAATTTCCGGTGGAGCTCCACTCTACAGGCGTCTGCAGCTGGACCCTTCTCCGATCTTCCGCTCCTTCCGTGTGCCACGCCCCCTCATTAACCTCGTGTGGGATCCCCCATGTGATCAGTTGTTTCTGGTTGTTGTCATTAGTTCTCTGTATTAAGTCCGCGTTTCAGTTTGTTTCCCCAGTCCGGTCATTGGGTGCGTTCGACTTGCTTACAGC